CCCACAGGCTTGATCGCGTACAAAACGTTTGTACAACTCGTACAAAACTGTGTACGATACGGTCTACAGAAGAACTAAATCCGGCGGTACACCGGAAGTTTTCGTTGCGGCGATGGGAGTCGTAATTTTCCCTTGTGGATTATTATTTATTGCTTCCATCCTGTTATTAATTTTCGTTACCTGGCGCTTCCAAATTCCCTTTAATATCTATCTGATGTTATAACTTCCATCACTGACTTCGCTATCGTGGAGAAACCTCTCGACATCTTAGTTTTATATCGTCGTACTGGTGGTTAGTGTTAGTGTCGTACGGGTGTGTTAGTGTACGGTAAATTTGTACGCAGTAAAGTATCCTGCGGACATGCACGTGCAAACACAAATTTTGTTTGTGCACTGTGCATATGTCTGCAAGCACTGTCGGTAGGAAAGCAGATATTCAGTGAAATCTCTTTCACGTTTCTGCCGAACATTGGCAGAAACTGCTTAAACGTGGATTCGAAAAAAAATGAACTTGGGCATAAGTCGCCGCATAACAGGTATGGCTTTTATCAGGAACGGTTACGGCCTGTTCGAGATTTCTTTGAACATCCACCTAAATGCCGGCTACGCATGTACGTAATGCGAAGTGTACAAACCGTTCTGTAGACATTCAAAACTCCCGAATGCGAGAGATCAGGGCTCTAATCCATGTGTGTAGTAATACGCACGCAAAAAATTCTGAAATCGAAGAAGTAACAAATTTATTTAGCTTACGAGCAGCTCGCAACGGGGTACGAGGATAAAATCGGTAAAATCAAATCAAAATTTAGGAGTTCAAAAGATTTAATTTTGTGGCTGACTATGATAAGTTTTAACTCGCTGTGCTGATTGGTCTGTTAACGTCTGTTAACAGATTTATGTAAAGCACTCTCATTGACGTTCTGAACAGTCTCAATGCTGCTTTGAAAATGATTTGCCTCTTAGGGTTTGTAACCGATGGAATGGCGTTTTATGCCACGAATCCGTTCTGCACCATGTATATTTGATCGACTCTCGCGATCCAGATTGTCCAGCAAGCGGACTTATTTTCCAGTCGGCAGCCGGCAAAGTCTGGTACGCTGGAAAAGAAAGCACAGACTACTTGTCTCGAAAAATTGCCAACAGGGTCAATCGGCTCACGCTAACATTGCGACTGGCGGGAAAGAAAATCTCCGAAATTCCACCAGTATTCCTCTGCGGTCCGAAATTTCACAGTATTCAATTGGGGACTCTTATTTTGGACGATTGTGAAGTTACAGTGAAAGACAGTTACCCGTTAACCGAGCTATACGACGTCTTCGCTGAACTGCAAGCTCTGTTCCACATGGCAAAGGTCATTGTGATTAAGAACGGGTCATTCGCGAGTAGAGATTTCTGCGGTTTGCCGGATCCTGATCCGTACACTGTGACCAGATGTGTAGTGAGATCTTATGAAGAACTGATTGTTTGTTTGGAGAATATTGCTACGAACCGTCCAAAACGGGAAAGAACGCCCCCGTGCGAAGATGATGGCCGTTATGGTTACGATATCGAATGCGACTGCATTCCCAGATGCCGTCCGTATTGCAAATACGGAAGGGATGGCTATTTCTGACTAACATGCAGACAAATGAATCACCGTGGACTAGCTAGTATGCAGGTTAGATAAAGGAAAAAAGTAAAGGATATTCGCTAGAATGAAGACTTTTTCATAGTTATGCTTATGTACAAGCTTGTCCGGTAATTTCCTACGTAAAGGTACAGCTAACGCGAAGTTTGCGCTTCACTACGGTGGCCACTTCACTACGCTTATCAAATTCCCTAAATGCGCTCCCGCAGTCAGACTGTCGCTTGCATCGACCATTTTCTAGCCACCTTCCACCAAGCAGTTACTATTATGCTCATACATTTATATGGCGTGCAACAAGCACCAGCCAGCCAAATGCAAATTACGTGTCTAAGCAGTGGGGCGTGGCGCGCCGTAGTGTGAAGTTGGGCGTAACACACAAATTTATGTAATTCGCTGTATTGATTCTTAATTCCCGGTGATTAATCTCTTTCGTAAAGGTGCACCGAGAAATGCAGATTCCAGGGTTACGCTAAGCCACTGCACGCCACGCCGCACTTTTTAGGCGTTACTGATTCATTTAGCACTGCTGATGCGTGATCAAAGAATTTATCAAAAAAATTTATCTGTCGTAATAAGTCACCGTAGAGTTAGATACATTTGTAATTGCGACAATTGTAGTGTACTGGCTGCTTTTTATGAGCCAGTATCCAGCCATCGCCCTACTCAAGGGGCTTCACTGCATTGTATGCAGTGAAGATATCTTTATTGTATATACAGTAATACAATACAGCCCCTAGAGAACCGCGTTGATCCAGCTTAAAACACAAGCACCTTCACGCAAGAAGTTGGTCGCCCGGCTTGTACACGTATTCGGCTGTGCAAATTATTCAAGTGCGCCATTCAAAATCCCGAACAGTTTCTCTGAATTTTTTCTTTGAATTTTGGTTGAGAATATCTGGACAAAATCATCCATGCGCTGAGGAACTATATGGCCCGCAACGTTTCTTGCGGATTTTTAATGACCATCTGCTTCTTCTACTTTTTTTCGTTAGCACTAATATTCTATCGAAACGGAGGACATGAGGCAACAAGTTCACCAGATTTCCATACAGCATGTTTATTCAATGGTAAACGTTTTTCCGCGGTAGCTCAAAAATTACTGTTATTATGCGAAAGAATAATGGATCTGCTGTACGATATTATTATGGAACAGCTGACAGAGTGCATTAAAAGTGTATCTAGTTACTATGATCGTAAAAGGAAAAAGCCATTGATAGAAGTATCATTAAAATGTTAGGTGTCACTGGCGATGCTTGGGCTTCTGGAAGCGGTGATAAGTGCAAAGTACAAACAAAGCAGGGAAAACTAGATGAAAATGATCTGGAATTATGTAAAAGCCCGAGATGCATTCTTCCTGCCCGAAATTTCCACCAGTTGACTAGGACTACCGCTATGCTACAACAGATGAGACAACAGGATTCCTCCATGATAGCGTTCCATGATTTGCTCGAGAAAAAAAGCTATTAACAATAAAAAAGTTATTAACAACAACATGATATAGGTAATAATCGAAACGCGCAATCCATTACTGGCTCCCGTCACCTTCAAGGCACGTAAAATCCTCCCGCATTTCACTTCAGGTAGATGTTACCGGTCGGCAGTGCAGACAGTAAAGAAGCAGATACCGATAAAACTCAAACTAGTGGCCATTGGTGAAAACCTTTCAATAGTGCTGTTTTCGGTATTTTCATATGTACATGCCAACAAATAAGCGGAACCCAAGAAAATTAACCGCGTTTGCAGATCCAGCTAGCTGAGCGGCATCGCGGTATATAGTTCCTACATGCAGAAAGCTTGACCTACTGAAATCATTTACACATCAAACAATTTTCTGTTAAGCTGCACTATCAATATTTACTTAATAAAAAAGTGTAGTGGTATGGCTGTACGTGGTGGCACAGTGACGTGCGACAGTAGAATATCTCGTGCATAATATTGTTGTTCTGTGATTATGGATAATGCGCCGTAGCAAAGGCATACCAATTGTCTTTTGTTGTTTTAGTGATTGTTGTCTAGTGTTGTTTGTTTGGCTCGCTAGCGAGATGTCGTATTAGTAAAGAATACACAGCCGCTACATGCAACACAAAAGGGGGGTAACAATAATAAACAGGGTGTGAAAAGGTGCGTCCATAATAAACGGGGGTAGATTGTGATTATGGGGTACACCAACGTAAAAGCCACATTAGCTATGATTACATTATGGATTACATATTTAGTTTTTCTGGAGGAGCGCAAAGAACGTCGCAGAGACAGGCGAAAACAAAGCTTTCATCCTCCCTCAATCTCAATTTTCCTCCCAGTTCATCCTCCCAGTTTTCATCAATCTTTTTTTGGCTGCAGCCTAGAAAGTAAGCATGACCTTTCGGTTCTATTTACATACATAGTAACATAGCTACTGTAGATCAAATTAGCCGGCATATGGTGAAGTGTGCACATAGTGGCCGATTTTCTTATCTGCGCCTAGCAACATGTTGAATGCGCAATGCTAAATTCCTGAGTCCGAAATACCGCATGCGTAAAAAGTTAAAGACAAATTTATTAACAGCATCTGTAAAATCGGTGATCCGATTTTTACGCAATTGCACAAACTTCGCGCCAGTCAGCATTTACCTTAGACTTATTGAACTTAACCATAAACTGGCTTACAAGTATACCGTTAAGGCTGGCAACACTGGGATGTTTATTCTGCGCTGAGGTTGGGCCATTTCGTTTACACACCATCATGAACTGCAGTTACCTCTCTATTCCTTATCATTTTGCGTTCGTTGAATTTTCACGCATCTTCAGTTGTGCAAAACTTCTAACAGATAGAAACGTTTTTTTCTGACTCTCGCAGTAATAGCCATTTCGCTGTCTGTTTTCGGAGAGTCCTCCCAGTTTTCATCACCGAGGTCTGAAAAATGGTAAACAGTGTCTTACAGATTCGTCTCTGAACTGCAATGCTCTGCAGTCTGGGCCTTTCGGCATTGCAATAACCATGACCCATTTTTATGAAGAAGTTAATCTTGCGCCTTCCTGAAGTCCGGCTGCTGCGCACTGTTGTCAGACACGCAATCAATCGAAGGCACATACCTGGAAAAAAAGGCTATGCAGTACCAGCTGGGCGACCAGTAAGCTCAAGTTGCAGAGAAGAACTCTCAAATGAATAAGGATCTTCTGTGCACTACTCTGTTCAGGCTTCGAAATTTCTGACAGACTACGTGCTTTGGGTTGTTAATCAATCATTTGGAGGGTCTTCATAGTTGCATCACTTGCATGTCTACATGTATATGTGGCTGCCGAGGCGCACACGTTGCATTTTATGATTATTCCATACACCATTAAGATTAGGAATATCGTGCATTTAATATTTTGATCGATCTGACAGTGAAAAATGCCACCTTTTGTAATCAACGTCAATAACAGCGTTATCATCAAAGATGTCACTGAGTGGCTGTGGGGCCAAGTGCAGGATGTTAATGAAGCTGGCTACCTGATCAATTTCGACATTCCCCAGTATCCCGCTCAATGGATACCGTTCGACAGAATCTTTTTGCCGCCCATCTCAAAGCCCTCCGGCCGTCAGCGGAATGAGTACTCCCCTCTAGCGTTGATAAATCCACGTTCTACATTGTATGTCGCTGTTCGATCGGACGAAAAGGAACCTTTCAAATGGCAGCGCGCGAAAAGCTTTTTCCTGGAGTTTACGAATACGAGTGCTACGCATCGCTCGTACATTAGCGCGGAAATCGAACGCAACGGTCAAAAACAATGGGAGATTGTGCCGGCTGTGCGTACATTTCAGCATAATAATTACGGATGGGCGTCAACAGACAATGTTTTCACTACGCGTCCCGTCACGTCCGCGACCTTTTTCAAGGTGGATCCCGCGGAGAGAGACGAGTATGGCGCAACCCTGCTGGAAAATGTATTTAGCCGGCGGTCTAAAAAGTTTGCTGTCAGTTGTGTGACGGTTAACCGGCAGGATGATACTATAACGTTGATGGGTACAGCATTCGGTAGTACGGGCTCCCAGCAAGTAAATAGAAAGGCGTTTACAAATATCATTGGTCTGCCGTTTTGGGAGCGCTGGACAGAGGACCTGGTGGAAGACGATCAGGACGAGAGCGTACGAAAAGTGTGTCTTGATGGAATGGAAATTATGGAATGCATGTCATCAGGGGATGTCGGAGCGTGTGATTATACTCCCGCGGACAGCGGTAAGAAAGTTGAATTTCAAACTACCGACCCGCGTTATCGTGTTATTTAGCGAATTTAACAGTAGCAAGCGAAAAACTATCATATTATAAAATCAGCCCCTTTCTAAGAAAAAGCGCAGACATACGAGTACGAAGTAATTATAGAGGTCAGTCGGAGATATGGCAAACCGATCCCCGTACTTGCGGCAGTTAGCCGGTTTGAGTATGACGTTGCGCTGTACATAGGGCTAATCTACCGCGCAGAAATTATTCGTAAGAAAGATTAATAAAGGTATACAGTAAAAGGTACAACCAACGAATGCACACCATCCACAAAACACCTATTGGAAGCTTATTTACTTATATATTATGTTCTACACATTTCACTTCTTTAACAGCGACGGCGTACTTTGCGTGGACGTTGTTGTCGAGATATTCGGCTATGTGGATTCGCTGACTCAGTCTCTCTTGCGACAGTAAGTTCCTGATTAAAAGTTTTATCATGTGCCTGTGCCAACTTTATTTCGATATTGATATTTTTTCAGGGTTTGCAACAGATGGGATGATATTTTACACCATGAATCGTTTCGGAAAAACATCTATTTACAACGCCTTTCCGGATCGGGCTGTCCTGGGTGCAGCTTTCTTTTCCAGTCGGCATCTGACAATGTTCGGGACGCTGGAGGGGAAAGCGTCAAGTATTTATCGCGAAAAATTGCAAACCGGATCAATCGGTCCACGCTGTTATTGCGACTGGATGCCGTGGACTGGCTGGAAATCCAGAATGTGTTGACCGGAAATCCCAAGTTCAACCATAATCAGATGGAAACTGTTGTCTTGGTTAAATGTAAAATCAGCGTGAAATCTTATAAGTACGATTTGACTGACTTGAACGACGTATTCGCTGCACTGAAAGATCTCTTCCGCGTGGCAAAAGCCGTGGTAATTAAGGAGTGTTCGTTCGCGTGTGAAAGCAGTGGCGATTGGTCGGTTCCGGCTCCTTATATTGTGACCAGTTGTGTGGTGAAGTCGTACGAAGAGTTGATTGCTTGCCTGGCGAACATTGCGGCGAATCGTCCAAAATATGAAAGAAGACGCATCGTGGCGCAGGAGAGGAAGACCGCTGGGATTATTATTGTGACCCTGAACCATGCAGTCGTTGGGGACCTTGCCGTCCTTATTGCAGTTGTGATAAAGAATACAACTGCTAACTCACTTAAAGGCAGGATGCAGCGGATTGATTTGCAGTTTCAGGCACAAGTAAAGAAGTAACAAGCATTTTTCAGCAAGTAATCTGATTAATATCGATTATTGTCATCAACACTATACAATATATGTGAGAGCGCAAACCATACCAAATAAATTTATGTCTAAAATATAGCTACACTACATTTCTTTAGTAACCGATGGCTGTCTTGTATGTAGGTTCTACCTTTCGCGTTCAGACCAGCGGAGAGAATTGTGCAGCCACAACATCGTGGTAACTATACTGTTTAAGCGCTATATTGTTCTTTTCGTTTTACTTGGACTGACCGCTACCTTCTGAATGTTACGGCCTAAAGTAACGAATTCTGTAAATTCAGTTTTTTGCCTAATAGCGGCGATAATTTAAACATTGTTTATACAAGTAAATGTGGGACCGTTTTGCCGGCCACAGCCCTTTTTTTAATTAACGCAGTTTTGACCACAAGCGGACCGGAAGGGAGTGTTATACCATTAAAGCCATTTAATGCTGAAAGCATTAAATGTCGTTAACGCAGAGCTCTCGTAGTACTGTACTTAGCAACGAGGCACGCATAAATCGGAGAGGGGTTCGATGTGTAACGCAAGTGCTCAGTATTCATCGCAAAAACAACTGAACATTGAGACTTCGTAAAAATTTCGCGCGTAACTAACTAACTTTTATATTTTATTTTAGTTTATTGATACAATTACTATTACCAGCCGCAGCTTTCTTTAATTCAGCTTACTTTATATACCCTCGTTAAAGCTAACCGTTTCAGTAAAAAGTAAAGGATACTTTACACATAAGGCCATCACTCTCAAAAATCTTACTGATATGCGTTTTTATGAACCATTTTTTTAACGAACAATTCAAATGCTGCATTGATGCTCTGATTCTTCGGTGAGAATATTTTTCATAATAAGTACTCATCCAGTTAATCGATAACTTTAATCATTAAGACCGTACCATTGTTGGCAAGGGTATATGCCTGAGACGGTTTATTCTTAAGCCATAATTTACATGCTGACCTTTTGTTTTCGCCTGATGAGTGCTCTCTGATGCAGTGGGACATTTGCATAAATTTTTCATAAGTATAAAATCAAACCTCTTATGGAGATTACAGTAACCGCGTACCCTACTATTGCACATCACCATATCAAAAGGCCACCAACAGCAGGCTGCTTATCAAGTTTTAATTTTGTTTTTGTATATAATACTACTAGTATATCGAAACCAACAGATTGCTTAGGTAAACGTTAAATTTCGCATAATTAGCGTTGGAAGCGTTTTATGAGCCGTTGTCTGTTACAGAGACTTCTTCAACCGGTTGATGCCGTTTCTGTTTCTAATACTAGTAATCATCTAATATCATCTCTAATACTAACTCTACTACGATTATGTATACTGCGCTATTATCTCTAATACTAACTCTACTCTACAGATACGTACGATACTAACTCTACGTATCTGCAATCGCTTTTATGATAGGCGGTATTTTTGTTTAATTGCTTCAATCTGCTTGTACAATTCCAGTAATTATAACAATGAATAAATACTTAAACTCTATTAATCATTTCCATGCTAGTGCCAACTTGTATTCATGCCTAATCATTTGCTTTCTTCCATGTCAATGCTCATTTCCCACGTACGTACTCCATGGAATCAGTTTAGCCTCAAGTCCCTTAACGAATGCTCACCCGTCTTCCGGACATGAATGCCCTTGACTTTACCCGCATTCGGCTCTACATCTCCTACATACACCGTTGCGATCCCACCGATTCCCACGCCTCATATCAGTCATATGTATTCGCATTCTGCACCTAACTTCGGATCCTTCCTGAATTCGCAATTAGCACCCACCCTGTCCGTTACAACCGTAAGTTTGTCAATTGTCCAAAATCATATGCAGCAGTACAAATTGTCCGTTTGTCTGAATATGATCTCTCGTATTCGCATATTTTTCAGTTCGGTCATTTGGGCCTTTCTTCCGCTCCGGGTTGGGGGTTGCGTTCCGTTTGGGGGTGTCCGGCGCGGCTCGTGTTGAACTGCCCAGCGACCTGCGGTTGCCTTTCGTCGTCAGTGCACCGTACGGACATCGCGCGGCGTAGTAGACTACTTGCCCCGGCATCCGTCAAGCGGCAATACGTTTACACCGAGAGCTCGAAAGCGTTAACTATGACTAACAAGAAGGGACGTAACCACTTTAGATAACCTTCTTCTGCATTCATGTGGCGTGATTATTATAAGTTCCCAGTTGGAATAATTCCAAGCTGGATAATGCTTGAGGCTGCGCATTGTGGCGGCTGCAAAGCGGTGTTCATTAAGAATGGAAAACATGTTATTAAAAAATGGAAGTGATGGTCAAGCGGAATTCGATGGTATATGTTTTTTTCTTATTTGGTGGAGCCACATATTGCTGCATGGATTTTTTCAGCTGCTGTAATTAAGATGGGCGTGGCCAAACGCAAATTAAAAGAGTACGCAGTACCACATACGTACTATGCACAGCGCACAGCGCAATATGCTATTGCAATGCACAGCGTAGGCTTTATGCACAGCATTCATTGCAGTAGGCCTTTAGCATGGACTTGGCAGCTGCCTAAGGGTAGTTCTAATAAGTGGACATGGACGGTCTGGGTGGACGGACGGCAGGACAGGCCGGACACTGGCTGGACATGGGCGAGGACGTTGGGCGGACGGACACCGGACGGCCTGGCACCTGGACACTGGACGTGCGTGGACACTTTTGTCTACACAGCAGCATTTGTAAATTTCTGAGCACTTTCGACCCATTTCGGTATTCTGAAGTTCCTATCGCGTTGTATAACTGAGTGCTTTATATCAGTGCACTAAAACGGTACCATCTTAAAGCTAGTGGTTATATGAATACTGATTATCTGTGCCAGGACTTCGGCCCCTGTCCTTTGAGGCAAAGGATCTCGGCTTCTATTTCACCAATTTTGTTGCTTTAAAGTACATCAAAATTCTCTAGGTGTAGCGGTGATCCAAGATTGTTGACTTTTTGCAAAAATCATTTGTCTAGGTCCAGTGGTCAATCATAAGCTTGTTACCATGGACGCGATAAGAAATGCACACTGTTCTAACACAACTTGGCCCAGAACAGTAGAAATATCTGAGCTGCTACTTAACAATAAGGACGAGTACGAGTACAATACCGTACAAAGTAAAAAATTCATGTACTGTAACCTAACACGTTAGTCGTCATTGCAAGTTATATGCAGTACTGGATGTCCAAGTAGACAGTCCGTGTTTCGATTAACTTATGCAAAATGTATCAAAATGTAGATATTACTAAACATACGTACGGGTTCATTAATATTATGACAGTTTGTAAGCGATCGCAAAGCAACACATCCTTGGAAACACTGTACTTATTTTTAATAGTCAATCGGCCAATATTCATTCGTGCTGGGCTTGTACTACTCTATTTATTCATTGATCTGTGCGGTTTGTTTAATTTCCCAGTGCCAATGTTAACACTAGACGCATCAAGTATTTAAAAACTCCATGACTCGTAAATTCTACACATAAACAAAAACTCTGTTAGGCATATCCTGTTAACCGCTGTAATAACCGAAGGTCCGGCAAGTGGCTACCATGCGTTGGTTTGCGCTATGCATAATATGGTCTTTGAATACGAGTACAACACAGTTCTGGTTTTGCTTTCATAACGCCTACGAAAAATTCGCATAAACTACTGCTTGCTTTTACAACTGTAGGTGTTGAAAGTACACAGATTTTACTGGATCGTTATACTGGTAAAGATTTATTCATGATTGTTTAATAAAATGAGTGATTCGGAAAGGGATGAAGACGATGAGCGCGTCAGCAATGTGACACAATCGTTTGGAAATGAAGAGGTTGCCGATGATATTTATGAGAGCGAACCGAAGGGTGATCAGGCTGCAGAGTAAGTACCTGATTGCCTTTAGCCGCTTAAGATGATTTGGTTTTCCGGTAAATTGAGTTTCATAAAAGCTGCGAGCTTGTGCGGTTTCTTCCAAAATGACCTTTGTTCCGAAATGACCTTCCGAAATGACCGAAGGCTGTTCCGCATGACCGTTTGAGGGACTCTGCACGACTGCGAATTGGCGAACTTGCGGTAATTGTTTTAGTTTTAAAAATGGAGTTATTTTATACCTGTCCTTCTAACTGCGTTGCGTTGGTGATAATAGCGTGCTTAAATAAATGTGTTTTAGAAGAAGGGAAGAAACCGAAAGAAATTCGCGCGCAGATTATAAAGGAAAGTGGGGAGTAACAGGACTGGCAACTTCAGCCCAGATTCCGTCAATAAAGGCCATTTATAATCAAATATCTAACAGCAAACTTTCAAGCTTTGATGATTTTCATGCACTCATTTTGCGATGTGTGAACGAATGTGCAAGTTCTAATCAGTTTGTAAGGCAAGTTTGCGTTGGCCCGGCATTTCGTGTCATGCTAGCATTGCACAGGCAGATAAACGATCTTGTACGATTTGCGCCATCTTCTGGATTTTCTGTTGACACAACATTCAACATCGGCGATTATTTGGTTACACGCTACACGCCAGACCACAATAACACAACACGCGATATTTCGGAACGGATGGCGATCCGGTAAAACGATGTGCAACATTCACTACTTATGCAATGACCTGCTCATACAATCAATAGTAGAACGTAACAATTTATTACTGACCGGCAGCTTATAATGATAATTATAATTTTGCCATTTAGTCAGGCACTGTTCAGTGGATTTCAAGCATTTTTTCCATCTGCTAAACATCTGCTCTGCATGATGCATTTTGCGGATAACATGATTCGCAAACTCGGGGACCATGGATTAAGCTCACATAAAAAGGTCATCACGGATGCCATCCTGGAAAAGAGGGAAAAACACCAGAGTACTCCGGGATACATCGACTGCAAGACGGAAGCCGAATATGAACATGCTCTTAATGAAGTTTGTCAACTGATATCGAACGTGCACCCTAACGGTCATCTGGTGGCGGACTACTTCCGCACACACAAAGCGCCACTGCTTCGTGAGCACTATTCGGTATGGACATTTTAGAAATGCGAATGAGAAAGCTTAGTATTAGAGCCGATAAAGTTTATTAATATATTCTGATGGCCCGATATTGCACAAAGACATCTTATGGGAAAAGGTTTTATTGCAGCCAATGGCGGAAAAACCTCAGCCAAACCTAACGGAATTTGAGGTTTGGTTTTTGGACCAGTGTGATTCGCGTACGACAAAATGTAGAGGGTGTGATCGACCATTTCGTAAAGCAAAAGATGTGATGCCTCCTCCACCGTTCGACCTCGTTTTAGTGACCTGTGGAAAAAGGAAATTCTTCAAAACCGCCGAAAATAAGTCTAAATC